TGTCCCCCTCCTACAGTGCTGCTATTGTCAGTATCACTCCACCCCCTGTTAACAATAAGTGTTAATTAGGTGTGAACGATAGCCATGTGATGTATCAGTCACATTGAGGCAGGGCTTAAAAGCCTGAATTTTGCCTGAAACTCTGACTGCAGAAGTCTCTTGGAGGAGAGACGAAATGTTTCATTAGAGAAGAACCCGTCTAGAAGACCTATACAATTTTTTTCCTTTTGATTTTTTACCTGGATTACTGAGATGTATCAGGACATGCCCACAATGGTTTCCACCACGGAGGAAATGTGCCATTCATGGCCTTTTTTAACTGGTTCAAAAAATGACTTGTTGAGATTTGATAGAGGAGGTCGGTGGTGAATTTAAATCTTCTGCAGCTGTTGTCACAATATGTGATGATGCACAGAATCACAAGTCCAAGTCTGAACAGTGTCACAGGGTGTAAACACAAAACTATGCATTATCTGCAGCATTGTTCACAAAAATGGCACCATTGATGTGTTAAAATATACATACAGTAGGCACACTTCACGATATTGTAGACCATTAGGGAATACATTAAGCAAGTACTTTTTTTAAGCAAGTACTTTAACTTTTAATACTTTAAATATTTTTAAAAGCAAGTACTTTACTTAAGTAAAATGTTAATGTGATACTTTTACTTTTACTAGAGTACATTCTTGTCTGTTTATCTGTACTTTCACTTATGTACAGTGTTTGAGTACTTTCTCCACCACTGAATGTTAGTCATTGTTACAAAGGCATTATTCAGCTAAACTGTCCCGCTGACAGTTCAGCTTTAGAGAGCGCAGCTGGGACCAGACTAATCCCTTTGGAAAGTTCCCCCACTCTGAGCTTGGCGATTTTTTTTTTTTTTTAACTAAGCACAGTCAAACATTTTAGTCCGAAAGAAAGTAAAACGCTTCGTTACACTTACCTGTGAGAGAAGTTTGTTTCTGGAGATGCTGTCCCCTCTACTTGTTCCACCATGGCAGACGCAGAGAGCCAAAAATACTGCTTTTACTTTTCAGCTCAAGCTGTTGCACTGACCTACCACAGGGGTTCGCACCATTTATGCGCCGGCGCACTGGGTGGGTGGAGTTTTGAAACAAATTCTGGCCAGTTCATTAACAAGAACAGTTTCTAACGCTTTTCTACATAATGACTGTTAACGCTCCCGGCCTTTGGTGAAGTATAGATACACATCTCACACCACACACATCTTTCTTTGCTATTATTGGCATTTTTAGTCGAGATTTGCAACGGCAGATCGGTAAGGAGCGGACCCAGTGACGTTTGTTTCCGGAAGCGAGAAGGAAACTGGGTCACGTGACGACAAAAACTAGGTCAGGTCTATAAACAATGAATACGTAGTAAAAGCCTCGTTGTGTAGGTCCGCTGCTGTGACAAGGCTGTGCGTCCGCCATATTGGAGGTGGCACCGCTGCGTTGTGAACTACTACAANTGAAGTTAACTGTTTAAGTTAGCTCACATGTTATCTGTACGAGCAATACAGTGGCTGCTGTTTGATGGAGCTGCTCACAACAGATCTTGATACAGGTTGTGACTGTTATGATAACTTTATGACTTAATCCTCATATTACTATGACTTTTATTCTAGTAAAACACATTATATAAATAAAAAAATTCCCTTCTCACCCTCCGCAGGTGGTCTCTTTCATCCTCTGAGCTCGGGTCCTCTACCAGAGGCCTGGGAGCTTGAGGGTTCTGC